GCAGTATCAGGGATTCCCAAGGTATCAAGTCTCACATAGTTCCTGTATCTAGACGTTATCATTAGAATATGAGTAAGATGTTTCGGAAATCTGCAGCGGATGTGGGAAAGCGAACCCTGCATCTTCCCCTCCTATCTTTAGGCATACAGTATCGTGACTGCCAAGAAAAGCATCTTAGCCTCAGTCACTACTGGCTGTTAATTAGAAAGCGCTCCAGCAAGAGCCCTTCTACCAAAAGCCTTGAAGCAGAACTGGAGAAAGGAAGGTCTTTACTGTATGTGTCAAAGTACATGGTTCACTTTAAATAGCCTGTGTGAAGTGGAACCCTTTGGTATCACTGCAGCCAGTAAACTATGGGGGACCGTTCATGCTAATATGATTATTAATGTTCTGTACGTTTTGAGCCATAATCATAAAATGTGCCGTCACTTAAGCTTTGATCAGGGCTTGTAGTAGGCTTAGGTATAGCAAACTTGACTAATAGTGTTCATGGTGATAGAGAAACAGCTAGCTTGCATTACCTGTCACATATGTTACTGCAGTCAACGACGGCGGCCGATTTAGAGCTAACACGAGCTGAATAATAAATAGCTTATGGAATTTCCTGTCAGTCTTTGAAAGTGCTTCGTTACCTTATATAATGTTAGCTTAGATATCTAATATCTATGACTGATTGTCAGAAGTGACTTACTGTAGCAGCAGTTTTTATTGTTACCATTGTCATACTGTAAGTAATTCCAAATTAAAGTTGTCTGTCTAATATAATGTCTATAATCAATTATTTATAGCACTTGTGTACCGTTTTCAGTGTATTGTTCATCACCTCCCAATGGATGTAGCACTGATCCCCCTCAAAGTTGTTGGCCAATGATTAACTCCTGGTCAATAAGGCCTTTAATGCTGATTATCTTCACAGTCATCGAAGTACACGATTAATAGTATACTCAATCTTAATTAAATAAATGATTCATTTTAGTCAAAGGAAAAATGAGAACATATAAAAAAAGAACCAAGGAAAAGTGCTTTGGTCAGCTATTCCAATGTGATGGATTTCTTTATTTTATATTATTGAAGATTTGTATGTTTGAGTCATGGAGCATTGGTGGGACGGAAAAATCTTTATAACCCATCTCCTCCGGCTTTACAATTGTGAAGGTTGTTGATTTCGTGGTCTGTTTATTTATTTTAGGTAGAATCTAAAAGCAATTGCATGATTATTTGCTTATAAGCCTCAGTGAATGGTATGATATTTAAAAACTCTGGGGAACCAATCATTTTCAGTCCGCTCTTCCTGTATCTCGGCAAACTCCACAGTGGAAAGGTTGAACTGTCTGGCGTTTATTGGAAATATGCAGTTGTAGTTTTACGTTTAGGTCTCTGTCTGGTGGGGAGCGAGTCACGGCGACTCTGTATGAGGGTGAAATCAAGGTCACACTAGTTGTCTGTCCCCATCAGGCTTTAAAGAAAACTCTAGTCTAAGAAATACTGTCTTTCCTTTAGCAGAAGAACAAAAGGTGGTGTAGCCAGTTGGTGGATCGATGTGTAAGAGGCTACACTGTTTGAAATAGGGGAGGGGAATGGCATTATTGAAGGGATAGGAAAGTAAACACATTTCTTCTCGTCAGTGTCACTGGGAAACAGAATAATTGGTTAGTGGCCTTGTGTTTGTATGTATGGGCTCTAAAGGCAATAAACAGCAACAGAAATCAATTCAAATCAAATGGCTGGCAAAAAATAGAGGGTGATGAAAGCAGTTTTTTAAAGATAGTGCCAAATACCCCGGTCTGTGTTTATGCCGATGTCAATTCTAAACTGAAGATGATCAGCAAAACCATAAAGCATCGTTAATGAGAAATGTAATGTTTTTTTTTAACATTTTCTTGATTAGCCTAGCTTAACATAAATACAGAAGGCAAGGGGAGAAACCACTAACTCATCTACCATTGCCTCTAAAGCGCATTAATTTACAAATTGCAACTCCTTTTTTTAATCCATCTACAAACACTGTTCCTTTGTGGATTATTTTTATTTTCTTTAAGCTGTTCCCCCTGTCTTTATGCTTAACTTAGCTAATCAGGTTGTGACTCCAGCTACAGATTGGCATCATTGCTCCTTTTAACAATCACAATCTGGCAGTCCAACTTCTTTGCACATTTACATTATGTAATTTAAATAGAAATCAATATTGTGAGTCCTAAAATCTGGAAATAACAAGTCAGTTGTTTAACGTGTGTGTTGTTAGAGGCCTGAAATATTTGTAAAAGAAGCCTAAGAGAATTTCACGTTTTGATCTCCAACATAAAATATGTCAGTAATTACCCCACTCGTAAATGTCCGAAGCTTCTTTGTGTCATTAAAATGGCGGTTGTTGACAAGTGACTAAAGGAGACTACAAAACGTCATCACAGCAAAACGAGCCCGCCTTTAGCTTAGCGGTGGTGATGTGCGGCCAGGCAGCCATGCGGCCATGTTGTGGTTTGTTAAAAGCCTGGTGTTCGCTTTTGACTTCTGGCGATTTAATTAATGCTTCAAAATTCACAAAGTGGTGTTAATCTGTGGAGATTATCCTATTTATGAAACGTGTTCAATATCATGAATGTGTGTTTTCCACAGAGTTTATTTTCTGCAATTTACCGAAATCCAATGGTAAAATAAAATGCAATATCTTTATGTCGAGGGACCCTTTTGTAAAGCTAACTTCCGGGCGGCCTAAATAAATGCGTCATCACTGCAACACTCTAAAACCAGCTTTGAAGAGCAGCCGTATTATTCCTTTTCCGTCCCCTTAAGCCATAATACTACCTTTTTTTCTGTTTGTATGTAGAATAAACAATATCCAGACTAGACACAATATCTTACTAAGTGAAGTTTAGCTGTTGGTCGTTGTATTTTTAAACTATAAACATAACCACATGAAGCTCTTCCCCTGTGTTTATAGTCTTTATGCATGATATACATCCGATTAGCCTACTCTAAGAAAATGTGTTCCCCAAAACCGTGCCTTCTTAGGTCTGTAGCTTAACAGTATTTTGCACTGCCGCTCAATTGTATACACCAGTGAGCTAAGAAAATATCTACTTCTGTCTTATCCGAGCAAATATTGTTTTCCATAATGGCGTGTTATTGCTCAAATAGTTTTGGATTAACATGGAAATACAAGAGAATCTTTTCTTATCAACATCATTAAAAGGCAGTTATCACCATCTGCAGTACCGGAGGGATTTGGGGCAATCAGCGGAGTACACAACAAGTTACAATGAGATCTCTCCGTCTCAACTGGAGTCGGGTCTTGCGGTCTGCCTAATTAAAGGGCTGAGGGGAAAGGTTGGCGGAGGTTGTGTGTCATCAGTGTCTCGCTGTGCTCCATCCCAAGGTTGCTGCTTGTAGCCGTTGCCAGGCTGACTGTGAGCTGCAGGCGGGAGGTGAGGCCTTTCTCTGCCCAGCTCCAACGCAGGTGTGAGGAGACTTACCTCCATGGTCAAGGTTAGCACCGGGTGAAGCAGTGTGAAGCTTTGGGGTTTGTCCAAGAAAATGCAGCAGAGCTAAAAGTCTTGAAAGCTCGACTTTGGGATAATTACATCCATCTAGCTGCGCTATCAGAGGCTTTCTGCAGAGATTTCTTTTTATGGAGCTGTCTGTCATTTTCTCATTAGACTCAGATTGATGGATTCTAAACGCCAACACCTGCTATTTCTGCATTATAATAAGCTCATTTCCTCTCTGTTTCTATTTCTCTTTCTTGGTTTGTTCCTCTCGGTCTGACACCCCACAGCGTTGGAGGTTTAAAACCATAATAATGGGGAAGCTGTCATAGAAAGCTGACCCACTCAAGCAGCTTTATAGCGTGGCGAAAGGCTTTGTGTGTTTATACTTTATACTCGTGCGCTGAAAACTACACATTTCCCTTTTTCAAGAGCAACCTTCAGATTTCCGAGAAAGAGGTGCTCAATCACAGCGAGGATTATTGTTTGGCGCTACTGTACTGCTACCAGCGCACCCAGTTCAGTTCAAGTTCACAATGGATCAATTAAAAGCTGTAATTCTAACGGGTGAAACTGGAAACGTCCTTTAAAGGTCTGTGTTTTGCCTCGGATGTAAAGACACACGTTTGCTTTTCATCACTCTCCCCTACTCAGCGGGAATGTCGTAAACGATCCAGGGTAACAAATATCCAACATTCCCAGCCTAACACGCACACACACACAAACAGATGATAAACTGACAGTTTGTTTTTGTGACAGAGCCAGAACATGTGCAAACATGCTGATTTTGCTGTAAACTTGTGTCGCTGTGTTTGTAGAACGCAGATGAAAACCGAGACATGGTTGACAGGTTTCTGCATGGCAGCCACTCAGAAGTCCATCCACAGCAGACGGCAGACTCATAAATAACAGACCTCCCACGGCCCAGTCAAAAACCTTGTCCAGCATGTAATGATGAAAAAAAGCCAAGACAATTTAGGGACTCACTATTTGATTTATCTGTAGGCCGAGAACAAAAGGAAGAAGACAATCTGGAATAAAAAGCAGCATATGGTCTAAAGTGATGGAATGGCTTAGAACACCACTTACTATTTTCAGTCTGGCTGTGTGGGTTGAAACATGCTGTTATGCTCCGAAGGTGTGATGTTTTCAAAGCAGAGCGAGATCTACATCTCAATGTCTCCTTGCAAATTCCTTTGAAATGTTTTTTGTTCCCTATTTCTACCTTCTGTCCAACATTTGCTGGGGACTCATGTCTCTGCACCCTGAATCACATCAAAGTGAGCCGAATATTGAAGGGTTTTCCACATTATTCCTGTTTCTCTCTCATTATCACCTCCTCCTTACGAACACTTCTTGTTATAATGCAGATGCCGGCTTTTCTTTGTTTTACCTACAGTTGGCATCCTGCATGCTCAAAGGCATTTACAGAGATTGTTGTAGCCACTTATACAAGTCGTGGCTCTTAGCTCTCTTCTCATGGGTGGTTTACTGTATCGATGTTTTTCTCCCCCGTAGGTTGTGACCCTGGGGAAGAACAGCCGTGGTTACCACTACATTCTGGCCAATCTTGTGAGTAATAACCGAGCCGCTCCCCTGGGAGGAAGTGGAACCTGCTTTTGCTGCGTGTGATGCGACTAAGTCTCAGCCATGAGCACTAATGTGCCTGCACAATAAGTGGATTATAGGCTTTTGTATGAAATCAGGAAAAAACAAAGGCGTGTATATATTGTGCTTCTTTCTTTCTACTGTATATATTTGTCTTATTATATTTATTACTCATGTTTAATCAATCACAATCTAGCATCAGACTACATATTTACCATAACTGAATATGCCCATATTTTGTTATAGTTTCATGTCTACAAATAAAACCGCATTTAACCTTTTTTGCCATTCTTGGAGGACAGCCATCTTTTACTCCCACTAAATGTTCATTTAGCCTGACATTAGCATGAGAGGTTTTTTTTTTTTAGAGGGGGCCGGGCCCGTTTCTCACTGGCTGATCCCCTGCTGCTTTTTCACTGACTTTAGAAGTTGTGATTATGCAGGCAAATGCATGTCTCCATGACCCAATGCCACTCTTGAAGACGACTATTTGACCATAAAAATAAGTAGCTCCATGTTATAGCTCTGGGTTAAAGTAGGACATTTATAGTCAGCTGGAGCAGTAGAGGATTTAGAAAATGCTTCAGAAAATGTTATTTTTTTTGGTTTCCTTAAATAAAACTAGGCCAGGGTAGTCCAATGTTACTGTTTTGTCTTTCATGAACAGACACAAACAGAATGTCTAACGGCAGGTTGTTTTTCAGCACATGAACTCAGGTTACAGCAGAAAAACATTTGCCTCGGTGTAATGGTAAACACATGTCGCTCTTTTATAGCTGCTAACATGTTGTGGTGCTTTTATTATATAAAAAAAACATGTGACATGAATCCCCTTCTCTCCTTTTGTCTCATCTCAGGGATTTACTAATGTGAGCTTGGACAAAGTCTTCGCTGGTGGAGCCAATATTTCTGGGTTTCAGATCGTCAACCCTGAGAACCCGATAGTGCAGCAGTTTATGCAGCGCTGGGAGCGGCTAGATGAAAGAGAATTCCCAGAAGCCCGAAACACTCCTCTGAAGGTACTTTACTTGCAAGGCCTTTCATTTCGCATGCAGAATACACCGATCAGCCCTTCTGAAGTGCTCTCCATCGGTTCCTCTCATCCTCGGTTTGCCTTTGTCATTCTGCCTTTCCTCCCACCCCTTGCTTCCTCCTCTTTGCTTTGCTTCCCTTCAAGCAATCAATATATCGATAGGCGGTGCGAGGCAAGGTTATACTGCAGTTTCAATTTACATCTAATTAAACAATGATCAAGGAAGAAATGGATTTTGAATGGCATTTAATTAGATTTGGTCATGGTGCTGTGGTCAACAAGCAAGTGGCTCAACCCTCAGTGGTAAAAAGGTCAGGCGAAGTTTGAGGGGAAGTGTGTGGGAGACAAAATCACACACAAGTGCTCTGTTCACTTCTCAACTCTCCACTAAAGTTTTGAAAGAGGTACTGACCGTCAGACGAGTCTTGGCTTTTCTAATGAAGCTATGTTTGTCATAAGCAAGGTGTCAGAGCTTGACCTGACCCGGGGGAACAGAAATCAACACAGAGACTGCACCAACTTCCACTGGGTCTCAATTGACTTATAATCCAGACCTTGAAGGTTATATAAAAACTACAAAACGGTAATCTTATCTCATCTTCTGCCTCTCACCATGTGCACTGCTCTCTTTTTGACTTTGTTCAGTACACTTCAGCTCTGACCCATGATGCCATCCTGGTGATAGCAGAGGCCTTCAGGTACCTGCGGCGCCAACGTGTGGACGTGTCTCGCCGGGGCAGCGCTGGAGACTGCCTAGCCAATCCTGCCGTTCCTTGGAGCCAAGGCATCGACATCGAGAGAGCTCTCAAAACGGTAGGGGGTGGCGGGAGAAGAAAAACAGAGAGGAAAGAGAGGAAGAGTGGCATGCTGATAACTAAAGAAGAGGCTAGAAGAAGTGAAGCACAGATAGGGAGCGAGAGTGTGATAAAGATGGAAAGTGACAGAGAGAAGGGGAGAGAGCGCCGAGCTGTTCTCCTCCCTCCGCCTGCAGATATCTCTGCACAGAGCTCACTCAAATCCAGGCTCTCATTAACATAAAACTACATCTTTTATTAAAGCGTATCCAGTTCATCATTTGATTAACAGACTGCGCACACTCTAGTAGCTCCATGGACACAGGCATCTTAATACCAGCTATATATGCAAAGTGATGGCTATTACACATTCCCCTGTGAATGTCTGTGTGTCTGTGTGTCTGTCTGTCCCTCGTGGTAGGTTCAAGTGAATGGTATGACTGGGAAGATCCAGTTTGACAACTACGGCCGCAGGACCAACTTCACCATAGATGTTTATGAGATGAAAACAGGTGGGCCGAGGAAGGTAAGTTGAAACAGAGACCTCTATGATCATTCCATCCACTGTCCTTTTAGTATACACAGTGGACAGCTTGCTCACGTCAAGGTTTATCATCATTGCTTCGAAATTGTGGAATTTGGCCATCATGTAATTTGAAATGTTCCGGTAGATAACAAGAACTAAGCTCAATGAATGTTGGACAGGGATGTTAAACTTTGCCCTAAACTATTCTGAGGGAACTGATTGTGTGAAGCTAGAAAAATTGAAACGAGCCAATACCTCAGTTTATTATACTGAGGGCTCTTGCAGTCATGTGGGAGCAGCAGGGCTTACAGGACAGTGCAGAGTAACACTAATTGCCTTTCTCTACCTCTGTAAGGTGGCAGCACTGATGAGGCAGCACAAGACACACAAATCACACACAGCCTGTGATCACATGGCTCAAACTGCCCTATCAAAGGAGTGATTTAAGACTATTTCCCTGCCATGTGATAGCGTAGATATGATATTTGGTCCTCTCCTGACAGTAATTACCATTCAGATAACCAATTACTATAAAGGGGATCCAAGAATCCCTTCTGGCTCCTCTTCAAAATGGTAATTCCCAGCGGTACGTTCGCATTATAACCGGAACCATATGATGACCCCTGGTTTTATTTCCTAACATAGAGTTCCAAGCGACATCTGGGAATTTCTCGTTAGCTGGATAAGTGTTGGCTCAGTCTGATATGACGTGTGATTACGCCTCCTAGGTCTCTTAAGCCCACACTTCAGTTAGCACCGCACAGCCAAACATGGAGGAGGAAGAAGAGAGAGAGAGGGTGGGAGATAAGAGGTCAGGGGGAGAGAGTGAGGGAAGATGAGACAAGTGGGGCAGCAGTTTGTCAAGACCTCGAGCCCTAGTCACCCCTTTGACAGTTTAAGGATGAAGGTTCTTAGCTGTGGCTGTCAGCAGTGATGTATGGCCTGATATCTGTCCCAGCTGCTCAGACTGAGATCAGGACTTAGCCTCCGAAGCAGAACTCCGTGACACGGCTTCACAACAGCCTCGTCCCCCGAGCATAACTTCTCAAATATCGCTGTCGGACAAGAGTGGCGGAATAAACATGTAAAAGCTTTCTCTGCTCTGGCAAGTGCACTAACTAAAGCCATAGCTGTAACCACCATTTGTAAAGCTGAAGTTTTAGCGCCTCCACTTGGTGTTTAAAAACTCTGCACTGTTGTACACCTGTCTGGCCCAAACATTTAAAAGATCTGAGGGAAATAAAATGTGGACCAGATGTGACGGAGGAGAACTTTGCCAGCAACAGTTAGACTATTGGCAGCAACATATGCAACATGTTTCATCGTGAGCCAGAGCAGCCATTATTTCAGATGGGCAAACAAACACTTGACATTGGTTTGACTTAAGCATCTGTACAGCAGAATACAGAGAAACTACAGAGGCAGGACTGGGCAAAAGAAACTGTGCAGCCACTGGAATATTGTGCTTAATTATTAAACGTGTATGCAGTTCACAGGCCTTAATATCAATTATTTACCATAAAACCTGCGAAACTGAAGGTGGGGGGGCTTGGAGCTGTCTGCCGTATGCTCATGCAGATAATTTCATGCACATTGAGCTGTTTGAACTGATGTAGATCGTAAAAACCAATAGTAGATTCTCATAATATCTTTGATCATGACACCATGTTGAATATAGAAATATCAATTGCTTTTCCCATGCTTAAATTCCTTGGCCATTTATGCCGTTCAAGAATTCTGCTCATTTGTTGCTATTTTGGTCGTACTATGGGCATTTTTAATGAGCCCTGCATCATAGCAGTTCCCTGTAAAATGTTGAGATGTTGCTACTATGTGCTCATTTACATACCGTGCGTGTGTTGGAATGCTTCACTTACCGCTGTTTTCTCTTCGCAGATTGGGTACTGGAACGAGTACGCACGATTTGTAAATATTATGGACGCGCAGGTCACCAACGACTCAGTGGAAAACCGAACGATTGTGGTCACTACTATTATGGTACACTTTCCACGCAGTTTTAAATGTTTCACGTATTCTGCCACTCAAGGTCATGGTGTTGATTCCAATGAGTGATACATTCTGTCCTGGGCGGGTAGAACCACATCTTTTTTGTGTTGCTTTCCATCCACTCACTACATGTTGAAACAGTCGGTCCGTAACGGGGGAGTGTTTCAACTGTATCCGTGTGGGTGTCAAAGCATTTTGATTTTCCATACTTCAGTGGCCTGTCGTAGCAGTGACATCACAATAATGGTATAAATGATTATGGTTGACTCCATCAATTACAAAAAGCATACAAACGCATACGTAAGTAAACCTGTCTGTCCTCATCAAGTAAATGTTCAATGACACCTGGGATAGACTGGCCGAAGAATGACTAGAGGATGAAACTGCAATGGTTTCTCAAGCCGGGCAAAGCAAAATAAACAGTATTGGAGGAGGGATACGCAGGTTTGGTATTTCTCCTTGTTATCGCCTCTCCAATCTATTTTGTATTGCTCCTACACATGTTCTGTGTTGAAGTATAACTTCCTGTCAGGGATTTAGAAGGGGATATTCCCAGATCAAAGCAAGATAAACAAGCAAAAATATCTTAGATTTATTTATATCAAACTGTATTTACTCAACTAAATGTTCCAGGTTTATTGGATAGCTTTGTCTGCAAATGCATTTAGTGACTATAATGGCAACATAATCACCTGAAGCAGTACCTCAATTGCTGCAGACAAACACTTAAAAGGATTAAGAAAGGATGTTCAGAAAGTGATAATTATCTGTGGTATTTATGCAAAGTTAGGTCATCTGTATTCCAAGGTGTTACTCTGTAGCGAGAGGAAACATTTAACAACTGTTGGTGAAAAATACAGTCAGGAGGTAAACATGTGTTAACTCGAGGGGGAACACTCAATGGATTCAAGGTGAGGGGATACGTTCAGCACAGAACAAACAAACCATTGCTCTCCTACTTGCACTCTAATTGTTTGTGGCTGTAATGACAATGCCTGCTCTCCTGAGCGGTCCTTTTGTTTGATAATGACGATGTGCTCAGTAAGAGAAAAGACGATCTGCACCAGCGTTTTGAAAAGGAGAGGGAAACTAGCACGCTCCTGCTCTCCTGATGTAATTATTTTTTTATGGGGTATTTTTTTGTTGCATTTCTTTAGAACAGCTCTTTTTTTCCTTTTCTTTCCTTTTCTTTGGGAATGATCAGCATTTAACTGCGCATTGGTGCTTGAATATGTTGAGATACTATGGGCACTCTGATCCCTCTCCTGTCACTGGCATTTACTTATGAAACCCATCCCCATTCCCATCCCCACCCACCTCTGAGCTGACCCACACCTTGCCTACCAATGACTCCCAGCCCTATACAAACTCATTTTGGCCTTCTGTATTCTCCTACACTAAATAAATAAACTCCCCTCCGTTAACCCTCCTTTATTATGCCACAGAGTTGCACCCTTGGGCTCAAAAATGGGCTGGGTGTATTGGGCTTGGTGTCTGCTGGCTGCCACGGCTTGATGAAAGCAGTGTGACCACAACATCACACTGCGGTTATCACAGTATAGTTGTGCATTTGCGGGGCATCATCTATAAATGCATGACTGCATGGATGTGGTCATAGCAGCTTATTATATATTCAATCTGTGTGTGCGTGTGTGTGAGGGTGTGAGTGCACGTATGAGGGCATGTATGCATATTTCTGTATAACTGACGTGTGAGCCAGGGCATGGGAGTGAATAAACCAGCGTGTGTTTGAATCAACAGGAAGCTCCTTATGTGATGTACAAGAAAAATTATATGCATCTGGATGGGAATGACAGATATGAAGGCTACTGCGTCGATTTAGCATCAGAGATTGCCAAACATGTTGGAATTAAGTACAAACTGTCTATAGTAATGGATGGGAAGTATGGAGCCCGAGACCCCGAGACCAAGACGTGGAACGGGATGGTTGGCGAACTGGTCTATGGGGTGAGTACTGGGAGCCTCGGTTTTCGCTGATTACATGACAGTTTGCAAGGAACTTCAACATGAGAGGAGATCTCATTTTTCTGTCTCAAGGTCATCACCAACTCGTTGTGAACTCGTCAGCTCTTGCCCAGTTCAAAAGTCTAATGCTGTCTCAGGAAGCTAAGCTGTGAGTGAATTTGTCAAATGCAGCCTCTAGCATTGGGGAGTTGGTGATAATCTTGAGACGGAGAAAATGAAATCATTTCTCAGTGCTGTTCATTGCTATTAATCCCTCTTGCTTAGCATAGAAAGTACACTCTCACAGTCACATACAGAGGTAGGTACATGAACACAGAGAGTCCATATGGCAAACACACTGTAATCACTTTGATGAATGAAAGAGTGTATGCCTTTGAAGTGATTGTGTAATTATGTTCAATGTTTGATGTGTATGATGAATATGCCACATTGTAAATTCACAGCTGAGAAAATCTGCTGCAGAAATCAACATCTAAATGGTGGTTTGCGGTTTGAAACAACAAGATCCATATGTGTTGTGCTCCATTAAGGTCGACCCTCTCACATTAGGGAAGGGTCACGCCGTGTTTTACATCTGACAGAGGAGCGCTCGGGCTCTCGCAACACCTCAGGCATTCCAAAATTACCCCTGAACACCCAGCACCCCCCCCCCACTCCGTTTTCTCGCTTTTCTCTGAGGCCACAGTAGTTGAACAGGGGCCAGATACAAAATGCATGAGGGTTAGGCTTCCTCATCTGTTCAATTTCCCAACTATCAGCCAGAGAGATTGCTTGGTTTGATGTGCTTTCGCCACCAAATTATCTTTCAAATGGGAAAAGTCCACTCCCTGCTGATGGAGTGAAAAAAATATCCCACTTACGTCGCTGTCAAGTTTTTCAACGCCTGTGATTTTTAAGCAGGTGGGCCGCGACTAATAGTTTTGTACATTTTGACCTTTTGACCAGTAAATTAATTTGATTTTAGTTGTCTTTTAAAGGTTAGGCCCGAGGCTACTCTTTATTGCTTCGCTTCCCTCAACATTGATTGAGTGTTGCTTACGCCTGCTCGAGATTAAACGGTTATAGCGCCTTCACAATGCTGTGTTGACAGGGTAAAGAAAACAGCCGTGTTTATTGGCCCTATTTGTGTTGCTCCTAGTTTGACCTTGTAAAAAACATTTGCTGCCTCGTGCGGCTTCAATCCAATGTTTTCTCAGTTTCTACATAAAAAGACAATACGGCACAATACAAAGAATTATCCTCCTTTGAAGAGTTATTTAATTAATCACACACACGCACTGGCTGCAGTAACACTGTCTAATGTGATTAATTATTTTCTTCTTCTTTTACAAAGAAACCCATTGTGATTTTCTAAAAAGGCAGCACCACCTCCCTGGATGTGTTTTGATAACATAGTGTGATTGAAGCCGCAGAGCAAAGGAGGAAGATAAAGAGAAACAGCTTGGATACAAAATAAAGCCAGAATTAGCCATGTTTGGGAAACCCAGCCTGCTGAATGGCAATTGATGAAGAGTACACAGCCTGGGCTTGCAGGTTTTTGTTGTCTGCAGAAACCCTTTTTACCTAATACCCCTCTGTTTAAATTAAAGGTTATTCCACTTGCTCTTAAGACATCAGATAGCTCACTACTTATTACATATTCAATTTTAATTGAGATCATTCAATTATCGAAACAGCGAGTCTCGTAGCAGGAAATTGCTTGTTTTATAGCACAATTGAAAAGTTTCCCTCCTTCAGTATGTCCTTGGGTCCTAATTAAGGAAGCGTCCGGTCAAACATGACTCAAACTCCCATCTGCCTCGGTGGATTTTGTCCAAGCTGTCTCTCTGAAAATCTTGTAGGGCCTTGGTGAGCTTTTTCTAATAATGTGGCAAAATGTTGGTAAAGAACCAGATTAAATGTAAACATTTGAATCTCAGATGTATTAGCTAATACCCCAGGCTGGAACATTGTGCAAATACCACTTTGTTTTCTTGTGTGTGCATGCGTTCGTGTGTGTGTGTTTGTGTGTGTGTGTCTTTGTTTGTTTGTGTGTGTGTGTCTTTGTTTGTTTGTGTGTATTTGTTTGTTTGTGTGTGTGTTTTCTTCCAGACTCGCTTGAAGCGTCACTGCTAGTGGCTTATTTTTTGTAAAATATGATAACAATATTGTTTTGTTTTCTTTCTCCAGCTCCAGTCATTCACACAGCATACAGTTAATTTAAATTGATCAGTTTCTTTATGCAGGCCTTGACTAATGCTTACTGTGCATGTCCCTGTTTCCAGAGAGCAGATATAGCTGTTGCACCTCTCACCATTACTCTGGTTCGAGAGGAGGTGATAGACTTTTCCAAGCCCTTTATGAGCTTGGGGATCTCCATTATGATAAAGAAGCCCCAAAAGTCCAAGCCTGGCGTGTTCTCCTTCCTGGACCCGCTGGCCTATGAGATCTGGATGTGTATAGTGTTTGCCTATATTGGGGTGAGCGTGGTCCTGTTCCTGGTCAGTCGGTTCAGTCCTTATGAGTGGAACCTCGATGAACAGGACGAGACCAAAGACCCCCAGACGCCCCCAGATCCGCCAAATGACTTTGGTATCTTCAACTCCCTCTGGTTCTCTCTGGGCGCCTTCATGCAGCAGGGCTGTGACATCTCCCCCAGGTGGGTACGCTTTGATAGACACAAGGACAGCAGAGAACTTTAGAGCACAGTACTCATATTTATCTCAAAACTGCACTTTTGAGTTTCTGTGCTTTACTTCAGCTTTTGTTTTTTTTGTTAAAATGATTACAATACAATTGATTCCACTTCCATATTTCCATTAAGGTTCCCACCACTCGTTATTCTGAAGCATAGATTTGAAGTTGGCATATGACTATTTTTCTTTTCTTGAATATAATTGGCTGTTCACGGTTTATGACGACAACTTGGAACCAGAAGTTCATATCCTGTCGATGTTTGAGATTTTAAAATCAAGAAAGATTGAAAAGATGCTTATAGAATTGTGTTTCTTTCTGAAGGCTTTGTTTCTACGCATTCTACAAGCATGTCAGTGCATTCAGTAGGTTGAATGAGATACGTTTTTGCAACTGCACTGAGGCAAAATTCAATACGTTAACATTAAAAAGGAAATGTGCCTTGAATTCTCAAGTATTTTTAAAAGAAAGTACTCCAGTTCTTAAACAAAAGTAAACATGTAACTAATCAAATTTCATTTGAAACAGAGTAATATTTAACCACGAGTATCTAAACTCAAGCGTCTTCATTTCCTGTCCTTTATTTTAGGCGTCCGTTATTTGAAGGTAAACTGATTTCACATTTATTGCAGCTAATATATGTCTACCTGAATGTGTCAGTTTGTAAGCTGAATTTCTCATTATCAAAATGGTTTCATCAGTACTGTCTTAAGGGTATGAAGCTGAACTTTGACCCTGTTTTATTTTTCACAACCAATTCAATCCTTTTGTCATTTTAGCCAGAGTGTGCTACTTTTCCTGAAAATGTGCTGTTTTTAGAGTGCTGACGCAGGTTTATTTTTCAATTAAATTCTGATTACCGGTGCAATTAGGTACATTAAACACAAACTGTTAGCATCTTAGCAGGTGGATGGGCGCCACATGTCACCGTGTAATTACATTCTGTCTTTCCCTGCCATCAACCTCCCTCTCGCAGATCTCTGTCAGGCCGCATTGTCGGTGGTGTTTGGTGGTTCTTCACCCTCATCATCATCTCCTCCTACACAGCCAACCTGGCTGCCTTCTTGACAGTGGAGAGGATGGTCTCTCCTATAGAAAGTGCCGAAGATTTAGCTAAGCAGACAGAGATAGCGTATGGCACTCTGGACTCAGGCTCCACAAAAGAGTTTTTTAGGGTGAGTAGAAGCAGAAAGGTACACACACACACACACACACACACACACACACACACACACACACACACACACACACACACACACACACACACACACAGCAACTTACTAAACAGACAGTGCTTTTTGAAGTCTTCCTATTTGCACTCAGGCTTGTTGCATCGTGAGGACCATTTTGTGTAATGTCCCTAATAAACTCATCCTTGCAGCTTTTCCATTTTGTACCTCTAGTACAGCACTTTTGACCCGCACAAGATTGCCCCAAATGAGGCATGTTGACAGAGAGTCAGTTCTTGAACTCTTATGACATCAACGTTACATGTATTCGGCACAACTGCAGTGTGCAACCTTGAGGCACTGGGGCTGTCAGCAGAAAGTGTGATAACAACGTGGAAGACTCCGAGGTGATAAAAACAGGAGGCTAATCAAAGCACCCACATCAGGCTCAAACTCAGAAGGGTCAGCTCATGAAATATAATTAGCTAGCTAGCCATGGCTGGCAAATTGGACCTGATGAAGAAGAGCCCTGTAGGTCAAACCGAGCAGTCTGAAAGACGGTTCAGATGGAATAAGCAATATGTCCGTCGGCATGAGGGACTGGCCGAGCAATTAAATCATAAATTAAGTCAAATCTGAAGCGAAAGTATATAAGACTCTGAAAGGCAACCACATGCTCCCAATGCAGGAGTTAAGGTACGCTGCATATCTCGAAGGCGATCAACCTTCCACTGTGAAATCCGTAGATGTTTCAGTCTGTGGCGTGGCTGCGCCGGCAGTCCAATCCTTTGCATTTGCAGAACAATCAGTTAAAAATAATTAATGAAACAGCACTCTGCCTGTGATGACAAAAGGCAATATGACAGTCTTTTATCCTGCACTCCCTCATTACTCATCAGCAGGAGATAGAAAAAATCATATGTTTCACAGCTGCAGCTGTTGGCAGAAAGAGCAATTTATTTGTATTACCCCTGGGTTGAATTGCCCGGAACAAGGAAATGCAAAATCAAATCCATGTTGTTGTTTTTTCTGACAAAAAAGGACACGATAATGTCAACAGAGTTTGATATTTAAAGGGGTTGTGTCAGAGCTGGCTGTAAAACGATGCGAAGGTAATATATCTTGTGAAACGTGGCACATGACAAGCTTGACAGCAGCACTCTATTCCCCATACAGCACTTTACAAAGGCTGTCATAACTCTTCCCTTCATCCGACATGCGCAGGTGTATATGAGGGATATGTCTTTGCACCACAGACATGATAGATGCCAATTACAGATTAGGTTTCAGGCTTGACAATGATTCCACCACGGGTCTGATGGTAGAAAAATCCGAGTGGTGGTCGGAGAGTCGCAGTTTCCCTGTGTTCTGTATAACGAGTGTCCTAGTTACATCCCCATGTCTTCAAATAGCAAGTGACATGTGTGGACTGATACTCCAAGGGACTTTTAATTAAAGCTGTAGAAGGCTGACATGCAAAAAGAAACCCCACACTAATTAATAAGAGTTAAAGTTCTATATCAGATCTGTTTTTTAGGGAAATACATTCAGGCTTAATTAGACCCATACGGCATCAGCCAGCTGGAAGTTTTAAGTCAAGTCCAATGTTTCAAACAAGACATATGTCATCATCTCTGAACCCCCCCCCCTCCGGGCATTCATTTTTGATGATTTCACCTGGTTTAGTTCCCAAAAACTGCTTGACAAGTAGCACACAAACACAGTAATGTAGGAAAGAAGGAAATAAAGAAAAAATCAGCTCCCTTTTTAAGCAGAACAAATATGCAGTCACTTGAAAATGGCTTGCAATAATGAGCAATAATGAGCAATAAAACTCTTGTTTTGATTATTCATGTTTTTCAAATCAGGTAATTTATCTCTTTTGGTCTTCTGTGGTAATTCCTCCAAGACTGTAGCTCCTGAGAAATTGACAGTTTGGACGTAGGGCTCGTTGCCTCACTCTGTCATTACTCACAGTATTTGGTGGAGAAGAAGCGGAGGAGTTTTCGAAGGAAGAGGTATTCGAGTAGAGCCCCTAGAAAGCCCCTAATTCTGCCGATCACAACCAAGTAGGACAGCTGGCCTGGGAGCCGGTTGACGTGCCCAGTGGAAGCCTGAAGTGCTCCAGGCGCCTGGCAGGGCGGCTCTACTTTCTTGGCTCCTCTTCCCCAGACTGCCCTCCATGTTTGGGCACCAGCTTCTCCGCTGTCTCCAGGCTTTACCTTGAAACAATGTGGGATAGCTCCAAGCTTTGCGGTGTTCTTCCTCAAAGTAGCAGCTGTCATGCGCCACCGCACCACTGTGTTTTGTTTCATCATTATAATTCTTATCAAGGATCTCTTCATTCAGTCAGTCGGATATTTGTGTTTTGGTGGATGATTAGAAAATGATGAGTTTTACCAGCGAGGCCATGTGTATTCTCTCGATGAGGTTTTCTGCCATCAAAAGGCTTACTTTCTGAATTGTACGTTGAAGGAGAAGCTGGGTTGTAATAATGGCTGCGATGATAAAATGGGCTGATGTGGCTGTTTAATTATGAGTAAAGACCGGGGTGAGACCATCAAAGACAACCACACTGCTGTCCCATCATGGACCTCATTTAACAGCGTAACAATGAAAGAATGATAATTGCGCAGAGAAATGGGACCGCAGCATTGTTTTCTGCTCCCCCTCAAAAGATTATACATCACCCAAAGCCTCAACAGCAAACATCATGCATCTTACTGATCTGCAGGTGTGGGGGGGAGGGGAAACAACAGCTTGAGTGCAGTCACCAATGCATTTTACTAAGCATGAAAATCAATTTCACGTCTCAGCTAACGTGGCACAGACACTAAAGCTTCTGCATGGCTCAACACAGTGTTTAATAAGTTGCTTTTTTATGCACAGCAGACCTGCATTAGGTCAGAGTTGCATGAAGAGTCGCTGGCAGAGAGATTTGTACAAGAAAGCAGAAGGTTGCCCTGCAATCATATGCAGTCCATTGTAGCAGAATTCCCCAAGCTCTTGTCACACTGTGTTTCAATGCAGTGCTGAGTGAAGGGGAGGCTCCTGTAAAGATTAGAGCCTTTTTGCATAAAAGGAAAAGCTGACACAAGGGATGATAGAGTAGTGCGAGATAGGCGTAACCTCAGAGGGAATGTGCCGTCCTGAGAGGGCCTTTTCCAGCTTTAGATGAGCAGCAAACAGCAGGCGCTAGAGGAGCTATTGGAGTCCAGCAACAAGCATCAAAGGCGAGCAATTGGTATTCAGAGCGTAGCGTTTGGCACTTCAATGACAAAGTACACCACCAGAGACTCAACTTTCATTTCTGCATGCTTGAGATACAGGTAGTCCTGGGCATACAGGATATTGGGGGGGAAGTGGTAATGTCCACAAACAAAATGGAAGTACAGTAAAGTAGAAGGAAATGTAGTGGTGGGTGTTCAGAGATGGAATTCAGATACAGTACATGAGCAGTGGAGCGTTTGTCGGAGCAAGCATTATGAAAGCAGCCTGCGACGCCAAAGGGAGAATAAAAAGCACTTCGAAGGGTAGTGGACTGAGGTCTGGAGACGCCGCATAACTGAGAATCAATACAGATTAAGAGCTCATTTAGAATGGAGAGGGCAATTGCTTTGACTTTGGTTTTTAATCACTTGTCCCTTTTCGGACATATAATGACATTTTTGGGGGGGATTTCAATCTCATCTGTAGATTTACTAATGATCTGTCAAACACTTTGACGCAAATCTCTCTGTCTTTATTCCTGTCAGTTCTGTCTTTCGGTGTATCACAGAAAACTTTACAGACTAACATTTTTCTGTCCAGTAAGCTTTTTATCTCTAGACTGCGAAGAGATAACCACAGGGTAGTGTGTTGCATCATCTAAGGCAGTGGAAGGCCGATTGTGACATGTTGGCAAAAGTGTTTGGAGTGAAAATCAAATCATTTAACTGTACTGTAATTAACAATTTCAAAACAGAGGTCACCAATCTCTGTAAACCTTACCTAAAAAGAATCCTTATTCCTTATAACTTATATAACTTATCCTTATAGAATCCACTTATTCAGGGCCCTTTGGATTACTGCGTTGTTTTAATTCCATGGGTTTAGCAGATTTGCATCTTACAATAACAGCTTCTGTTTATTGCATGCGGGAAAACTACCAAGTAGAACTCACAGACCGTTAGCATATGAGTCATGCATTATTTAAGTCCTTCAGTTCTGATGGGGAAATATAAATCTCCCCTGAATACCTAATCCTAAAACTGTTGTTTTTAATTGTTTCTCATATTGTCATTTTCAACTTCTCCGGACAGCATACAGTCAAATGAGCTGCTGGATGGTCATAATAGCCGGGGAGCATTTGCAATAACAAAAAGGGAAAAGTGTGTAGAAATGTTACTCCTGTTGCTAGGTATGTAAACAGTTGCTGTATACAAGTACGCAATATAACATTTAAAGCCTGTTCTGCTGCCCCCTAGTGGCCCAAAAATATCTTGGTTTAAAAGAAAGAGATATAAGGAAAAATATCAATGGCCTGCCCCTCCAACACTTAACATGAAACTAAAGTGACATCCTTGTAAAAAAAAAAGAGCAAGAAATAACTTTCCGATGCTTTTATGTAATTGCCGACAACTGCTCTATGTAAACCTTCATTTGTATGTGCATGCATTAGTCAGCCTGAGTGCCGGAGCCTTCATATCGGCAGGGGATTTGGACATGGTGATTCAAAAGACTTCTGCCCAGAAGAATAATAAGCACCCACCAGTTTCCCTCCGGCTTCCCTCTAACCTTGTTTCGCTGAAGGCAAGTCATGCTCTCCCTGCTGCTTGTCTTAGGACACCAGGCTGGAATAACAGACATGAGTTTGTCTTTATGACTATTGCAAGACGGCAGGAGGCTCAGCTTCAGACAGATTTGCAGGAGTAGCGCCTCCACAGATGATGTAACTGTGTCTCCTAGGTAGGAGGGTTGGCTGAGATCCACTATTAAGGTACTTCATTATAGGCAGATCAACATAACGATTGCTTCAGTATCATTAAAGACATTTAAAGGAGGAAGATAGGGCTGTTTGCAAGTTACGCAACATACATTTGTGTTTCTTTTCACGTTATACCTGTCAATGTGACCACTCCCCATTAATTGCCTGAAAGCACATTTAGAATACAGCAGTTTGTTCTAACAGGGCCATTATATGGTGGGAAGGAGAGCCACATGTGCAAAGCTGTATTTATGGCAGTCTATAATTGCTTAGCAAATGGTCTGTTCATTGATGATGGACTTTAGCACTCATTATT